TTATGCTGAAAGTGTTTCTCAAGAATAGCACATTTGGCTAGGATTTTTATTTCCTAATTATGGAACTCCAATTTGAATGATGAGCTACATGAGCTTAAACAGAATGGGATGCTAAAGGACTTATGTTTTAAAAAAAAAAGTGATGGATTCATTAGCTTGGGGTTACAGCTTTGTATTGAAAACCAGAAGCTGTCTCATAACTGTCCTGCCTTTATACATTGATGTCTCGCTGTCTTGTTCTGTAACAGCAGGAGTGTAAAACTGTCATTTTTTGCTCAGTGCTAACGGCACTGATCTGCATTGCAATGTGAATCGCAATGTTACTGTGAGCACAGTGATTCTGTATAGTGATCTATGTACCACCTCTGGTTTACTTGCAGTTTAGTTTTTGGAGGCAGTTGTCACATCTTGTTATTTATTAATTTTTTAAAATTCTCTTCCATTTCAGAAAGAAAACCTAGTGTTTACAGGCTTCATATACCCTGGTCACATGAAGACTCAATAACTGTAGCGAAGTAAGGACTTTAACAATTATAACATACTTTTTGATATATTTTTGAAGAATATTTACATCCTGTTGTGATAATATTTCTGATATGAGACAACTTCTCCAGTCTTAAGTGTAGCTTCTGCATCTTTTCCTCATTTACCTTTCTGCCCTTGTTGACAGTTGTTTTGACTTTTCCTCAGAATACGAATATCTGCTAATTGTTTGTTTAATACTTCTCACTAATTTTCTCAAAGGAATTAGATTTGCTGATCTGAAATTCTTGGCACAATCTGTGACCCCCTCATGAGTGGGGAATAGAGAGGCTGCTCTGCATGCTGGCTTCTTTCCATAACCTAGGGTTTGGATCACACAGCAGCCCAAAGTTGCTTCAGCAGCATTGTACTGACAAAATCAGATGATACGCCTTGGAATATACGTCACTTATGAATCACGGTTGAGTTTTTTTAGATTTTGTAGGTTGGAAAACTGTCTTCCTTGTTTATTTTACGGGTCTTAAGGATACTTCCCTATTTTTTTTTTCCCCTGTATTTTTGAACAATGTAATACTTGCAGGAAATGGAATTGTATTCTTGAGAACCTGTCCTTCCCATTCCTGTCACTCAGCGTATTTACGTGTTCTGTGAGGTCGTGCATACGCTAATGGTAAACTTGTCTGTTTTCATTAGTACCATGCCCCTCAATAGCTCAGACGACAGTGGATTGAGAATGTTATGTAGTTCTTCGTGATAGGATAAACGAAGTTCATTATACCATTTCACTCATAGCTTGAGGTGACACTTTGTGTACCGTTCCGCTTTATGTGCGCTTGTTGAAGACTAAGGCGTGTTTGGCTTTTTTTTTTGATTATAAGGACAATTACCAATTGATGTTTCAGAGTTCCATCTTACACTGAGATTTCTGCAAAACTGCATACAGCTCAGCCTCAAAACGACAACAGGATACCAGAGTTAAATATTTACTCTTCTTCAGACTGTCAGTATGAAGTGAGTAATACAAATTTATTTTCTAGCTAGTTTGCATTGCTTGTATAATTTTTGCATAATTCAGTCTTTTAAAACATGTAGCTAATTAATCAAAATAAATACTAAGCAAATCTAAAGGTGGGCTGTTTGGCCTTTTTGTAAATGTAGTGCATGTTACAAGTATTTTGTAACAGCTGGAACAATATTGAAAGTTGGGCTCTTGTTTTGAAGAAAAAATTTAAAGCACTTTTTTTTAAAAGTCAGTAGTAAGCTGTTGTACATTTTAGTTATGGAATTGCTGTATTCTAATACTTAAGTTGGCTTCTTAAAAATAAAAGTATTTTGTACTTATGCTTACCATTGTATGAAATAATAAAATATTTGGGTTTTTTTTTATTAAGGTAATTCTGAAGACGTCACTTTTACAGATTCTGGGGCAAGTAAGAAAGCCTTCTAGTACTAAATTGTCTTTTATGTCAGTAGCATCTATAGAAGTTTTCCTTTCTTCCCTTCCCTACTATGGCACTTCAGATTCCTTCTGGATGCCAAGAGGAAGGCTATTCAATGATCATTTAAAACCTCGTCACTTGGCAAGGCATCGCATCTGGATAAATGTCAGGCCTCAGTTTTCAGAGGAGTAGAAAAGCACTTTAGCTCTGAAGAGCTATTGTAAGTGTTGAACATTTAGCTTTGTGGTTAGCTGAGTATCTGTAAAGGGATGACACCGTAGGTCACTTTCACTTTCTTGTGTGATGAGTTAGTAGTCTTAAAAATTTAAAATACATTTGGCATCAATGAAAAGTTAGGAAAAAGTTAGTCTTCAAAAAGGGCAAAAAAGATGACTTGGAAAACTACAGGCCGGTCAGCCTCGCCTTCATCCCTGGAAAGATGATGAACAGCTTGTTCTGGGTGTCATTGCAAAGCACCTGGAAGAAAAGAAAGTTATCAGAAGTAGTCAACATGGATTCACCAAGGGGAAGTCATGTCTGACTAATCTGATAGCCTTCTATGATGGAATGACTGGGTGGGTGGATGAGGGGAGGGCAGTGGATGTTGTCTACCTTGACTTGTTGTAGGTGACCCTGCTCTGGCAGGGGGGTTGGACGAGATGAGCTCCAGAGGTCCCTTCCAACCCTGACCATTCTGTGACAAAAAAGTCTTAACCAGATCCATATGCTCCTTTTCAACAAATTTTCTTTGGTTATCAATGAAGAATATAATTTTGACATTGGTATCAGCCATCTGCAATTTCCTGGTTCTAAAAAGTAATTGATTCTCAAGCACTTAAGTGTAGTGCTAGAGTATTACTGGCCAGTTTCTCTATTTGAATGTATGCATTTATATTTTTCATTTTGTTATAACTTTAGAAAAATTTCTGTGCTGTTTGTATATTAATCAGATATCCTTTCATTATTTGGAACAGTGGAAGCCAATTAATCTCTACATGAAATTTCCAAAAATTCTTTGCCCAAAAGCATATATAACTATATGCAGGTTTTGATTGGAAAGTGTCCTTTTAATTTTTTAAATTTATTTTAATGAAATACCATTAATGTGCTACTGTGTTCTTTTCATATTTGTCTTGACTTGAAAAAAAGCATCCATTTCTAATTTGGTCATTTATCAAAACATGTTTGATTAGCCATTTATGAGAGATCTGAGTATTTTCCATATATAAAATTAATTGCTAATGGTGGTTATCAGACACTTATGCATCAAAATGAGAAATTATTTGAATCTTAAGAAAGATTTTCCAATCAGATTATCATACTGGCTTCATATTAATATTTGTATGTGTGTATTTTTAAAAAAATATATTTTAATTTGTATAAATGAAAAGTTATCCTTATATCCTTGTCTTTCAGATAATAAGGTTCCATGCTGGTGCTCTTCCTGTCTATGTTGTTTCTAATATTCTTCTTACTTATGGCGGACAATTGAGCACATTGATATCAACAGGTAGCTTTCTAGAAATTTTTTTTTCTGTCACAAGTATGTTTAAAGAAATTACTTATCCAATGTACTGTTGAAAGACTAGCTAGTTCTGGGGTTTTTTTAAGTATCATTGAACTTGTGCAAGTATTTGGATCTGTGCTTTTCAGTTTCAGGTTTTCTTTGTTGGTAATTCTCGGAGGTTGTGTTGTAGCAGAATATTTCTGTGTTATTTTATTCTGCAGTCCCTCTGCAAATGATTGATGTTAGACAATATTTTAGAATCAATAGACATCTACTTAAAAATACATGTAAAAGCGTTAAATATATTGTTAATATGCACAAGCCACTTTTTCTTGCATGAAGATGAGATTTTAGTCATGTCTTCAGACAAAATGCATTTTTATTTATATTCAGGTAGTGTTTGTAACAAACTCCATAATCTCTCTAGAAGCTTTTGTGTCATATTACCCGAGTATGAACCGTGCAGCTAAGAAGGGCCTTGATGATGAAGTATGCTGACTTACAGTATTGTTGTAAGACATAGTTACCTTGTTTTAAAGTAAACTTTCAAACCTTTGTCTGAAATTACTTTTTGTTGTGGATCTTCTTTGTTAAAGTTCCTGCCGAAATAATAACCATAGATGCCTTCTATTCTTGATTCTAGGCCAGTGTTCAGACTTCTCCCTTGAGCTAGTCAGGACAGCTAGACCCTACAAAGTAGAACCTCTCATAAGCATTGTTGTGTTTCTGCAGGGGTAAGTTTGCATAACTTAATTTAAAGCAGTTTCCAAACCAGAAGTTTCAGAAAACTATTGGTGGGGAGGAATATTATTTTATCTGTAATCATTGTGAACACCTGACTGTCTTTTGTTTGAAAGACTGTGGTAGGAGGAATAGTTGATATATATCTTACTGTAATAGCAATTAGAAGTGATAAGTAATACTGCTTTTATGTTTTTGGCAGGTTTCACTGGTTTAGAGCGATATGGGAATCACTGTCACTACCAGAGGTGGATGCTGCTGTACTGAGTAGTCAGGATGCATGGTTCCCCCTTGTGTCCCTGATTCTATTTCTTTTTGGGACAGGCATTGCTTACTGGAGTGGAGTATTTTTCTCTGCATCTCTGAGACTCTTCTCTTCATTATGGTTAACTCTGATTAGGTAAAACAACATTATGCTATAGAATTATGCTCTTTTAGATGACTGTGACCCTGTCCGTTTTTTCAGTTTGCTTCAGCGTGAATGCTTGGGCAGACTGAATTCTGCAATACAGTTCACACATGATTTTAGCCTGGGTTTTTCAGTGTTAAGTACTAATGACATATGAGGACTGCCTCATATTCCTTATTCCACATCTCCGAAAGGGAACATATATGGCTTTCTTGTTTCCTTCACCAACTGTTATAAAGGTTTTCAGTTTGTTTTTGAGGAAAGCTTGTTGGGAAAAGAAAGCAACTGAACTATTCCTTTTTCAGCAGCTCAAAAAATAAATGCATATATTTAGAAAAGGGACTATAAGCTTTGCAATCCATTCCTCATTGTTCATATTGGATAAATTGCATTAAAGAATGCAAACAGGTTTGTAAGACAAAAATTTCTCGGATGTTAATCTCGCTCTGAAATATGTGTGCTTGTACAGGTAAGTATTAAACTGTGAAAGTGAGTTTAAAAAAAGCAAGGAGATTTTGAAAGAGTAAATTAGTAAATTGGATAACATGCTTAGCTATTTTAATGGTTTGAGTGTTCTGACACTGATAACAGTCCTTAGCTAGACTTGAGCCAATTCTCTGTCTCCAGAAAGCTGGTTGGGATGCTCTTTACTCAGAAAATGTCTGCTGTATGAGCTCTGCTGTATGTCCTCTTTCTTTTTCACCACAAGCACTTCTGGTCTTATTCTACCAAATAATAGATGTGGTGTCAGCTATTTATTCTCAGCCATCTTTTTTATAAGTTACAGTGGATGCTTCAGTATTAGTTTTAAGTGACGAAGTGATGAACTTCTAGGTTTTGAAACTACTCTTACTAAATTTGTAAGGGTTTTAGCTCACTTCATACTCTTCGTTAAAGCTTTTGATTTCCTGCAAACCCTTAGAATGTCTTGGGAAGAGGCAGGAAAATAAGGTTTTGTATGCCTGCCTGTAAATTAGCAGGTTAATTTTGAAATTAGAGTGCTTTACACAGTTCTAGTACCTCACACATGTTTTTTTATCCACTTCTGAATTTCTTGGAAAAAAAACCCAGGCCCAAACCATTTATTTTCTATCGATCTGTCTAAAGTAGGTAGTATTCACTTGACTTTTGCTCAGTGTTCTGAAATTATTTGATGTGGCTGGCAGCAAAGAATTTGTCACTGGCTGTCTGTGGAATTCTTTGTTCTTGTCATCTAGCCTTCTTTTTCTGGTTATTTTCAATATTTGTCGCAAAGACTTTTCAAATTATATTTTCCAAATAACACTTTTCAGTGTATTTCCAAATACACTGTTTTCAGTGTCTATTTTAATACTGGAATATCCCATGAATATCCAAGAATTACAAACTTTTTCATAGTTCTATTGCACTTTCTCCCCACTGCATTCCCCTCGTTGTCACACCTCCTTAGCTCATCTTTTGTCGTTTCAGAGTCATGCATGTCTCTTAGTCATATCAGCTGGAATCCAAAACTTAAAATAAGCTTTTCTGTGTCTCTCAGACAGTCTGTGAGCAAGCAGAAATTCCTGTCTGGGAAGAATGTTTGTCACAGAATTAATCTCTTGGAGACCTACTGTTTTATACTGCTCCACTATCATTGAATAGTGCGGTGCATTAACATTTGCATAAGGAGTCATTTTCATGCCGCTGCTGTGCAGTAATAATAAGATGATACTTGTTCTCTTAGGCTGAACAGAAGAACTTAGTGATTGACGCAGATCTACAGTTAGCATCATCTAATGCTTTGTGTTCACCAATGTATCCTTTATGTACCCCAAATGAAGTAAAAATAATACATTACAGACATACATTCTGGAAGGTGTAAGATTTTGTAGGTTCATTTGATAAGAAAGTTGAGGGTTTTTTTGTTTTGGTTTGGTTTTTTTTTTGTAAGTAGCTTATGTAGCACTTGGTATATATGTTAAAATTTGTCTTTATTTTTTTCGGTGTTTAATCAGTATTCAGGAGCAATTTATTCTTTTCAGTCATTCACAAAACAGAATTTTTCTTTGATCTTTGTAGTGTTGATGTTACAAGAGTCTAACAGCAGTTTTGTCTCTTTAGACCTACTGTACTTCATAAAGATAACAAGTTGATTACACCCAGAAGACTCTGCGGGGTGTTATCCCTCGCTTTGGTTAGCTGGACCACTTGCGGTGCATTTGCTGTATTCATTATTTATCTTCAATACTTGTTTAAGGTACTGAAAGGCTAAATGTTTTGAATTTATAACTGAATTTTGTATGCTTTGAATTAACCCCATGTTAAAAGCAAAAATACAGATTACCATTTTTCATACTTAAATGTTATTATTCACATGCTTGAAATAGGTCTTTTTTTTTAACTTATCAGACTTGCAATCTTATCTTTAGAATTATTTTGTTCTTTTGATAATGCTTTTTTGAAAGAAACGTACACTCACATGTGTTCACTACAATAATGCATGTAATTGTGGTTTTTAACTTATGGATAAGTAATGTTATAAAATCAAAGACTAATTACTCCCTTGAAGATAAACTTTAGCAAAGCAAGGACATGGAATGTTCTGTCAGATTTGTTATCTTAAAAGACTTTTCACAAATCTTTATGAAGTAAAAGGAAGGAGGGTGGATATATTGTAGAATTAGGATAGTCTTACTGTATGTCTAATCTGATCCCTTGGCTAGTGCCACGAAGATCCACATTTAGTCCCTGCCATTCAGTTTCCATGGTCGTCTTTGCATCAGAGCATCTAATTTATCTGATTCACCCTATGGCGGTATAGCTGCTAAATCAGCTACTATACTTAGCTACCAGGGAAGCACTGGGGCATGCACCTGGGAGTAGGCGCAAAGCAGAGCAGCTCACGGGTGGTCTGAAGTAGGTAGGTGGTAGCTGAAAGCACACCCTGAGGAACAGGTCTATCTCTATTTCAACTCTCTATGACACAAGATCACCCTGTGAAAGATGTTCCCCCTTCTGCAGTAAATCTCTGCCATGGGACTTCTCCAATGTAGCCTGTTTATGGGTTTCTGCAGAAAGTGAAGTAGAACTGAATTAGCAGGAGGAGGTGAGGAACATGCAGATTTTCCACTCTATTCTCTGTCAAACACAGTGGAAGGGGAGAAAGCAGAGCAGCATAAGTTTTCTCTCTGTGCTTGGAAATCCTTCCTTAAGGGAGAACTTTGGATGTTGCTGATAAAAAAGGCAGAGGCAGTTCTTGCATTGCAGCCCCATTGGGGGGCCTAGAATCATCTAGTTATAAAAAGGGTCAAAAAAAAAGGTAGCCCAAGTTTTTTTTTTCTTGTATACTACAGCGGTTGTGTAAAGAAACATTACTAAAAAAGCTGAACTGTCTGTCTTGCAGGTTATAAAACTACACGTGAATGTAAGAGTAGAACAAAACATGCTTAAAGGGGTAAGTCTGTTTCCAGCTTCTAGTCAAAATTGTGACCAAAAATTGTTTGGCAAACCTATGCATTATGAATTGTTGTTGTCTTGCCTTGGTAGTATTAAGTTGTGCTGTGAGGACTGCATGGCTATAATTTACTTACTGTGTGCATGGTGCAAAGGAAAAGCCCAGGACATGAGTAGCTTGTTTCATCACATATGACTGTTGCATTCACTGTTCAAGATCACTGCAGTGTGAACTTGTTTGAAGTTCATTTAAGGAGAAAACAGTCTCTGAATACATATGGAACAATAGGTTTTGTCTGAATTTTGGTATTTGATTAGACACGCCTCATCTAAAGAAATGAATTTAATTTCTAGATACTAATCTATACTACAGCTAAATATATTTTTTATCCAGATAGGTAGTTTGTGGAGTTTAGGGGTGTTTTTAATGAGGACATGACAAATATGACTTACTAGATGGATATGGACTGCAGCTGCAGTAAATTGTGAGCTGTTTAAAAAGGAGTGAAGAAGCACTGGGTTTTGTGCATTGTGAACTTTGTTTTTTTTCAGTTACTTCAAGGTAGAGGACCCAAGATGTAAGCACGTGTGGATACAAGCAGATAATAACTACCTGTTCTTTTTGCAAACAGTTAAGAAAGAAGTCTGCCAGAAAAAGTTGTTGACAGTTTTCTTTGGGTTTCTTTGAGTGGTTTTTTTGTGTGTTTAGTTTTAAATACTCTCCTTCTCTTTTCACCTCCATATAATTTTTTTTTCGTTTAGTTTCATTTGTGTGAGGTTTTTTCCTGTCATTGGAAGCTAGCATCTGCCAGCTCACTAGTTTATCTTTGTTATTTGTTCCTAAAGCTACTGTTTTACTCCCAGTTGCATTACCTCCTGTATCTTTTTCCATGATGATCATCTGTGATTTTCACCTTCATGCTTTATTACTCCTTTTATTCTGTTCTTCCTCCTTCCAGGAATTCCATTTCTTATCACTGCATTGGTGTCAGGGCATCTCCACTCTCCATTCTTTTCTTCCAAAGACATATGAACTATTAGTGTAAGAGAAATTTCTGGTTAAATCTAGATACTTTAAAAATGAGCTATTTCACTTTGCTTTTGATGGCATTTTGAGAGATAAATTGCAAATTTTCTTCTTAAATCAGAGCTAGTATGATACTGTTATGATAGTTTTTCCCTTCTCCTTCCCCAGCATGGGTTCTTACAAGCCTGTGCGTGTTTTTATGACTTTTGCCTTCTATTTTCAGGATTCAGACCACTCAAAAGAAACGTCACGGAACTCCAATATACACGCAGTCAAAAACCAGAGTTCAATGGACAGTACCTCAAAAGCAACGCAGTCTCCTTCCAACAGTACAACAATTGCTGAAGCCGTTAACAGTCTTAAGATGCACATCACAATTCTCAATTTATTCACATGGATTGTGCTGCTCAACTTGCCATCTCTAATTTATTGGTTAAAAAATCTCAGGTAACTTCTTAAATTGACAGTAAGGTGGAAGGTTCATATTCTTTTGAATATGAACCTTTGAAGACAGTAAAAACTGTGAATGTTTACAAGTAGGTGTTTAATCAGTGATATGCTGAAGGAAGTAATGATTCAGAAAGGATTTAAAATCAGGCTGTGATACCATATACATTTCATATAAGTTTGTTGTTATCAGTACATGCTTGTTCGCAACTTGGATTTTATTTGGTAGCCTAGTTTAGAAGTAACATGCTTTTTAAACCATTTTTTGCAGGTACAGTGTTAGACTTGATCCCGATCCGTGTAGATCTACAGCTATTATCCTTGTATGCATTTTAGAAATTCTCATGAATTCAAGTACTTCTGAAGTGAAATCAAGGTACTGTAGCCTAATTCCCAGTTTTTGTTTTCGTGCTTCTTTCCTACTACTTCCGTTTGTGTGGTAAAACTTAATTTATGCTGCACAGATATGTAATTGTTCAGTCTGCCTAGAGATTCGTACACTCGTATGGTTAAATCTTAAAGACTGGGTAAAATGCATGCAAATGACCTCTAGTTCAGCTAAGTGGAGAAAATCACTGGTACTTAGCACGTGGACTGAAATGAAATATTTTCTGTCTAAACAATCAGTTGTGTAAAGGAAGTGTGACTTTTTCATTCACAATTCATTGAATCCTCCCAAATGTTAGAGAATCTTAATACATTTAGCAATTATTACCAGAAAGTTACAAGGAAAAGTGAATTGTAAACCATTATAGTTTACATTCTTGTAATTCCCCCTTATGGGATCAATTGTGGAAATGTAACTTGCTTTCTACTGGATTAATAAGTTTTGAGCACTTGGTTTTGCTGACAGGTAGAGCATTTTTCATTCAGATATAAAATCAGTGCCTCATGAAAGACAACGAATAATAACCAACGCAGTTTATCCTCTTGGCCGGTACCTGTTAACTCAAATGATCTAAACCATCTTTCTTTGTTACAGAGAACTTATTTCTAAATTAATATAAGAATATTTTAAAATTAGATTTTATTAGCCTTTTGGAGTAATTGCTCTTGCTTGTACACCAGTTGTTATTGCCAATTACACCTATTTGTTCTGTTTTAAAAATGAACAAATCCTTGAAATCTATAAATTATTTTTCAAAAGAAAGTGAAATATGGTATTTGCATATCTTCTGCATGTATGGCTACAAAAATGGCAATTTTTTCTTTATATTCTTACAGTAAACTCTTGAAGATCGCAGCCAAAGTTCCACTCCCTTTGTCTGTTGCAATGTTGGCCTTTGGACGAATGCATTTATACAAAGTACCACACTTTGTAACCTTTTCTCTTCTTCTACATGTGCTGTGTTGTATTGTGTAACATTTGTTATACATAGGAAGAACAGTGCAGCCTAGAAACTTAATACTGGAGATGGGCAAATTTCAACAAAGAAATGCCTAGATAAGTTATCATCAGTAGTTTACATTATGTGGGAAGGAGGACAGAACTGTGAATATTTTATGAAAAGTTCATGGTTCTATTCATGTTGCTTAAAGCTTTTCATGGTGTGAAAATATTCACACGACTGTGAAAATGAAGTGAATTAACTGTGTGTGTGTAAGCACATAAATCATATTAGTGTAACATCTCAATACTCTGCCTTGTGGACACTTTGATGTTTCACTATATTTCTTTGTTGAAACAGACTTTTTTACTCACTATGCCATACAGTGCGTATGTTCTGAACTTGCATCTTTTGCAGGTCTAAATTATGCTGGTTAAAACTCAATACATTTCAAGCACACTGTGACTGTCACAAAAACTACACAGCCAAGTATACTTTTAATCATTTTATGCTACATTTAAAAGCTGCCACAGTTGTGTCTAGACAAACTAGAATGTATTGCTTCTATAGAACTGTTATTTCTATCAAATCATTCGTTCAATCAGTGCGAGTTGAACATTTGTGAGATTATTGAAAGTCTTATACATTTTACTTTTTGTGAGAGTGAGAAAACAACAATATTCTGTGTAGCTTTCTATTCAGGAAGGATACCAGCAGATTCATTAACAATTTGCTGTAATGTTGTTTTAAAACATTGCCAGTTTTCTCTGGAATTTTGTCAATTCTGAAATTACTCCTTGGACCTTGTCCATATGTAGATGCTAGCAAATGTTGAGGTATGCTTTGAGTTTACAGAGCAGTTGCTGTACCGCACTGTTTCCAAGTAGAGAAGGTAGGAATTTTTTCCGATTGTAAATGGAGAATCAGCTGTCTCGTAAGAAATGTTCGTACATGAAATTACTATGGAATAGTTACGACACTGTAAATTCATGCCTTGCCATTCAGTTCTAACTTCCTCGTGTGGACGAGCTTTTAGTAATAGTGGGAAATAGTGACCATAATTATTTGCTCTGTATAAAGTATTATCTTAGTGCCTAGATGCTACAGTGACTGCCATTTATAACAAAGCCTAAAATAGCTATGTGTAAGGAATTCTGTCCCCTGGGTGTTTTGCCTACAAAAGAAATCTCGGTAGGCATTAGGTTAAAAAGATATATTGATTCTGTGTAGAGACGAGCCTACTACTTGCTTCTGTGTTAGTTGTCTCCACTCTGTCTGAGATACCAGTTATCTTCATATGGAAATACAGGACCAGCTTAGTCCTCTTTTATGAATAATAAGAGGAAATCTGTTACCCACAGTCAATCAAGTATATTCTTGATATAGTATTGCAGCCAGTCTGACCCATTAATTTTATTGTATCTCATTAATCTTGCCTAAAGTGCCTCAGTTAGTTCCAGCATGTTGTTAGGGTCAACTTATTTGAGCTGGCTGGAAAGACTTAATTCACACAGTGACTTTCCCAAATGAAGGACAAATATGAAGTAAGCATGTATTTTGTCTGCTTATATCCAAGTCAGTAGTTCAAGTTATCAGTAAGTCATTAAAACTGTTATAACTGAGTTAGACTATTGTAGTTAACCAAACCACTGTCACTGTTACCAGTAATCTACGTACTGGTATTCTAGTCTTAACCTTTTTTTAAAAAAGGTTAGATTATCCATAGTGTTTGTAAATCAGAAAAGGTATTTGAATAGATTATATCTTGATACTTTGTAATCAAATGTATGCTACAGTGTGTGTATATATATATAAAAAAAGATCATTTGTGTCTGAATATACTTGTAGGTAAATCCACCAGTTTGTTTAACCTAAAAATTGCTGTTCAGACACAGAAGAATAGGGTAGTTTTTTCTACTTTCAAATGGCTGTGATTGAAAGATGGTGGCAGAACCGCACTGGGGGCTGGTAAAAGGCCGTCTGTGAAATAGGCAGGATCTGATTTCTGTGGAAGACAGTTTTCCTTGGCCTTCATGGTCCTTTTGGCTTACTACTGTATTTTACTTCTGATTTTGTTTTGCCATCTTAACGGGCTCTCTATGCAGGAATCCATTTGTTGGAGCTGTTGGTGGAATAAAATAATCACAATAAGGAGAGCAAGCAGTCTCTGCATGTAGTAGCTTTGATAGCTTCCAAAATCTGCCACAATGTGAAATTTACTAAATTACAGCAGCATAGAATAATGTATGCTACAGCATGTAATGATATTTTCATGTAATGATATTTTAAAGTTGGGAATTGTATTGATAGTTTTTTTCACTCTTCCTTAAATGGGCTACAGAATCTTGCATAGATTCCGACTCGATTTCCATCTTGGAGGTAGGAATAGATATAATCCTGACTCTGAGATCCCAGATGGCGGAGTTTATCATGTCTCTCAATGCTCCCTTTTTTCAGAGATGTTTCAGAGATGGTTTACCATCACAAGGGAAAGAAGGGGAAGTCTTAATGCTCCTTTGGATTTAAATGCATTCTGTGTCATTTGCTAAATGAAAACTGCTCAGAGATGTGCGTCTGGATTTTGCGGTGATTGTGGACTGTGTAATTTCAGCTGTTTGAGAGATTAGGTGTCTAATCCCAACTAGATTTTCTATATTATCGGTGGAGGGAGACAGGATTAGAACAAGTCCAGAGAACAATTCATCCTATTCTGAGAGGATGAATTATCCTACTTGCCATTCTGAAAAGGACAAGATTTTATAAAGAAACTAAAATTTTTTTTCAGGTAAAATGCAATGATTGTTTGTCGTTACTTTTTGGAGAAGAGGCTTCTGTTATGTGAATCTCTAGTTCTGCTACTGTTCACAATTATAATTTCAGCAGAAACGTAGACTAATTCAATATAAATACTTTTAATTGCATGTAGAAAGAAGTGTAAATATTACTGAAGTATCCTTTATTATGAGTAGTCTGCATTTATAAAACAGCTTTTGACAAATATATTGTAATGTTTCTTAGTAACTTTAACTAAATTAAAATTCCAGTTTATGCTTAAAATTTTAGGTTATCTAGACTGTGGGAGAAGATCAAGACATGAATTAACTGGTAACAGATTAGACCTTTGCTTTATAAGGGAAGATTTCTATTAACATGCAGATCCCAAATCTGTTGTTCTCTCCTTTTTCAGAAGTTGAGATATTAATTTTGCAAAACCACTGTTCTTCCTCTCTGTGGATGTAAATCACATTTAGCTGGAGATTATGCCACGTAATCAAGCATTTAGGTTGAGATTAAGCCACCATTTTTTGGCTTGTACCTCAGGATGCATGCAAAACGGGAACTACTTGTGTGGCTCTTTTTTAGCATTTTTTTATAAGCTATCAGAAATGGAATAAAAAAACAGGGTAAGAACCTAGAGTACCAAATGTCACTAATTTTAGGTGCAGCATATATGTACATCAGAATCTTTCTTTGGCAGGGGCAGGGGGAGGTTTAATGAGCAGCTTTTAATGAAATCTCCATACCCTGAACTGCTCTTGAAGTCTATAATCTTTTCTGGTTGATATGATCAAACGTGTTTCTCATAGTCTTATCACGCTGCAATCATAGTAGCTATACCTGTAGCTATCAGTTCATAAAAGGTATATATTTGTCTGGTAAGGAAAAATTGTTACCTCTTAACTACAATTACTAAATGTACCTTGAAACTGAATGAATGAAGGTGGTATTTTCAGGTTTGATTTAAAAGCTGGTTGCAGTATGTCTCGCTTCAGTGTCCTGTTAAAAGGAGGATTGGTTTTGGGGGTTTTGGTTAAGGTTTTGTTTGTTTGCTTTGTTTCAAAAAAAAACCAGTAGTAGTTGGAATTTAATATTATTTCTAATATTTAGAGTTCTGGTCTGATTTTTGTTTAGAGTGAACTGATACATGTAGCAATTAATTCCAAATTATTAATTTGCTAAGTTTTAAAACAAACAAATAATACAATAAAACCCCAAACAACGTAGCAGTAATATATTGTAGAAGACATAGAGATTGCCTGTATGTCTAAGTGAACTTTTCAACTATAACCTAATTGGGCTACCTTTAAGGTCAGTGTTTAAAAAAAAAACAAACAACAAAATAAAAAATACTGATACTTAAAAAACCCAAAAAGCATTGTTGCATACTTTGGTATTTGATATGAAGTCTAATTTTCCATGTGTTTGCCAGTAACACGGTTATGAACCTGTTACTTGACTTTTCCTGAAATCTGATACATCTGCTTCTAAGCTTTGACAGGACAGAATAAAGTTGATTATGTACCTGTGAACATTTGAGAAGCTTTCACTTGATCAAGTTCATTTCAATACAGCGATGGGTGTGTTCAGACTTTTGTCTTATACTGAGAAAAAAACAGCCATTTACAGACCTTCGATACTCTGAGTTACTGAAAATGTTTTTGGAAGCGGTTATAGTGTCTATACAACAATTGTGCTGCTGTTTTTAATCACTAAGCTACTAGAAAATTGTTAGCTGTAAAACAGACTAAATTCTTAATGCTTATCTTCGATTTCATGATGAATGTTAGTTACTTAATTTACTGCTTTGATTTCTTACTTCTCTCTTTTTCTGGGAGACAATCTAGATAGTTTTTATATGCACTTAGCACTGTACTGTAAAAGGTTTTAAAACTTTCACCACCATTCCTTTAGGGGAGACATCCTTTTGTCACCAAAGCTACATGCTGCTCTTATACCTCTGGAAATGTGTGCCACTGAATGACAATTAAGAACAGATTCATTTTTATGTTACAGTAAAATAGGTTTTTCTAGCTTTTTTTAGACCCAGAATTTTAAGCTAGTGTTCATAAAAGAATCCTTAAAATCTATAAAAGTTTATTTGAAAATCTTTTACAAATATATTTTCTGATGAATATTCTTAATTATGGAAGAATGTATTCAAAGGTTTTAATCAGCTTATTTATCTTAAATCTTAAATAAAATCTATACATTTCATCCTGTTAATAAACATCACTGCTTTTAAAAATAAATGTTA